GATTCCTTTTTCTAAAGTAAATTCCTTTGCTTTTGTGTTTGCAACAGAAGTGTGTGGGAAGAAGAACAGGAGGCGTGACACGTGGGGAGAGGCACAAGCCAGAAACTTATTTCTGCCTTACAATTTCCCACAGAACAGAAACAGCATTTTATATCTACTGCCTATAACACAGACATGAACTTAAAGGCTTCTTACAATTAGATATCCGAACAGTCAAAACTGTCAAGTAGAAAGAATAACATTTTCTGACTTGGCTGAAAAAGGAATCACATAAAAACAGTGATACAAGACATCCATAAAAAGCTCCTACACATTGTATAGAAAAACAAGCTATAAGTGATATCATTAATACACAGAAAGGAAGTATGACTTGCAGATGAACTTAATCTTTGCCCTATGATGCATTGACACAGTATTCCAGTAGGAACTACACACATGGCATTTTGGGAATGGGTTGTCTCACTTAGCTTAGGAGCTGAGCGAGCCAAGTGCATTTTTTTATTGAAGCTAAAGTTTATTAAAAAAAAAACACTAAACCTTCTTCATCTACCAAATAAAAGTGTCACAATTACATTTGAACTCCATTTAGTGTAGTAGTACAGTGAGCCCATGCTAAAGTGATGTCCCCTGGGGGCAAGTCCAGGACAGCCTGGGCTCAGAAGTGGGTTGAATGATGGTGGCTGTCATCTAATGGTGTCCTGTTCTGATGACAACTATAACAATTTGGATTGGCCATCACTTCCTATTCCTGTGACAATGGTCAAAGGTCAAATAGAGAGTGTAAATCTCCTCAGTAGGGACAAAATAATAAAAACGTCACAGGGGATCCACCACTTCCCACAGTATCCAAAACAGAAAAAGTTTGGCTTTAGACATACATTAAAGTGAACATGTGCCCAGATCATACACACTAAATTATTTACACTACATATTCTAAACAAACAGTGAAATCACTTTAAACAAGTCCTCATGCACGTATGTAGCTATAGGCATTGTGGAGAAAGTCATTTTCAATTAAATCTCAGCTTTTTTTTTTGACAGCAGACCTCTAATGTAAACAAGCAGCAGGTGTTGTAGGAAACAGAACTTTAAAAAGTCTTTGCTGTAATCCTTTGAGGAATATTGAGAATAAACTACTTCCCATTACAAGCAGCTATAGAGCGTGGGTTTGTTTTAAAGCTCCTGGCCAGGACACCATCTTCATGGAGTTTGCATGTCCTTCCTGTGCTTGTGTGGGTTTCCTCCAGGTACTCTGGTTTCATCCCACATACCAAAGACAAGCTGGTAGGTTAATTGGCTCCTGTCTAAATGAGCCCTAGTATGTGTGTGCATGTATGTATGCGAGATAGAGACCTCAGATTTTAAGCTGCTTGAGGGTAGGGACTGATGTGAATGTATAATATGTAAAGAGCTGCGTACATTGTCAGAGCTATATAATACTTGTAATACATAAATAATAATAATAGCCTGGGTACAGAGGCGCTTTAGGTTTGGGTTTGTGCTTACCAGCCCTTTAAATGAAATTTGGAGCCGGAGAGGTGTGCTGGAACTTTAAGTTGCACAGCTTCAGCAGCTGGACCTGAGCTAGACATTAGTATCCAGGAAAACTTTACATGGACAGATAAATGGTACACAGTAAAATCTGCTCAGCAGACAATAACAGACAGTTGATATTTAAGGTGGAATTAAGAGCAATCTCCGGAGTCTTTAGCTTGGTGTTAAACTGTCTACTTCAATATATGATGAAATGACCAACCATGGGAGATTAATCAGGATTCCTCCAATTACATCCCTGCACAGTACACAAGTGTGATAAAGGACACATCCATCTATGGGTCTTATGTCCTTATGATCAGCATGTTAATGAAGGTGACCTGGGGGTTGTAGTGCATTGTATTAGCTATAGTAACAGTACTGCAGAACACATTAGTAAAACTGCTACCGCAGGCATGTAAAACTTTAATTAAAAAAACAAAATAGACATGACTTGAATATTTAGCTATATTACAATAAAGCAATGGTATATACATACTGTAAATGTATAAAGGATTCATACAAAAACAGAACATGCAGCATTACTAAAGGCTTAGACAGAGCCTGTGCATGCCTGTTACTAGGCAAAGTAAGGTTTCGTGGTGACATGTGTTGTTTTCCTTGGTTTGATGTGCATTTGTAGCGCACATCAAAGACAGGTCAGCATAATCCCCTTTACTTTAGTTGAATGGTTCATATAACATTTCAAAGGCTGCATTTGACCTGCTTTGTGCACTGTGCTTCTTTAGATGCAGCATGTCCTATTAAGGCGTGTTTGAACCGCAGGCAAAGCAGGTCAAACGCAGACATTTCTTATTTAACGCTGTGCTTTCCATTTGAATGCAGGTGCATGCGTTCAAATGTGAAATGCAGTGGTTGACAAGAAAGCCTGTCGACATGAACAGTTGTGCTGTGCTGCCCTGCACCTCCAATCCACTGTCAGACCCCTTAGAAACACATATACATGTAGCTGGTTGGGGGAACACATGGACACTTCCCCTTACCTTCCACAACGCAGCACTTGAAGCCTGAGGGACCTATCACCAGGGCCTGAGCGTTGTTGGGTGGGGGAATATACTTAGACATGTGTTAAGTATGGAGAGCTTTGGCAATAGAGCAGGGCAGCAACAGGAAAGCAGTAGGAGGTAAGAGAAGACACCTTGTAGTGCCTGCTATGCAGTTTGGCTGTTATGTTACATATATTAGGAGCCTGATATAGTTCTTTAGCACTTTGGGATTCATCCAGTCCTGGGCTACAAGATGCAATAAGGCTGTTGGCAGCATAAAAAAACCTGCTAAGTTTTCTTTTATTATTCAGCTGCGGGTTCATTGGGTGGCTTTAGTTTGTACATGTTGAAGTAAGATACAACTTGCTGGGGAACCTCAGCCAAAACACTTTGAGCGAGGGCTTCCTTGGGAGCCTAAAATCAGAAGAGAAGAATGAGGTTATTGAGAGGCAGAAAGGACAATTACTGTTAGCCTACTGTTCACCAAATCCCATTTCACCAATCTCCTTGACATTCTGATACCCATAACAGGTCATCAGTGTGGCTTCAACATGCATGGAAGGCATGATTCACAGATATAATGAGTGTGTGAATGGCTTTTGTAGTATAGAAAAGAAGATAGTGAAGTAAATATGGGAGAACATGTTGCCTTTATAAAAAAAAAAATGTCACTGACCTGGAATAAGTATGCTGATCAGCTGTTCCAAGTTCACCTGCAACATGCTTATTTCAGATCAGTAACATTTCAAAATAGGTCAGTGAAGACAGCCTTTGTATTTCTTTGATAAAATTATAAAAAACATTAGTAATGTCTTTGGTGGCTACCCATGCTCAGTAAATGTCATAGTCCAGTTTTTCTGTCACTGGAATCTGCAAAGCTTTTGCACCCCACTACATACATTTGGCCCAAGGGTACACAAAAGTTTGTAAATTCTGTAACAAATGATATAGGCTATTAGATATCTCATACTGCAAAATGTTATTGAATCCCTTAGGGCCCATTTCATGTAGTGTGCGGTGTGTTAACACAAATTATGTTGTTAAGGCAGCCCATATGCCCTGTGTCCAAAATTGGACATGATCTTTTTTTTATAATGCAACATGCTACCATTCGTTGTGGTCTGCTACTCAGGTGTGTTGAGGAAGATGCCCAGGAGTGCCATCCAAAATGACGACAAAGCAAGAGTGTGTGTTGGTCCTTAAAAAGCGTCTTTTGTCATTAACTCTCTGAATAACTGCTGACCGCCATCAGACAGCTGAACTGAATATGATTTATACATACAATACGCGTGTTTCCTGAGCATTTTCTTTACTCTTAGAATGTATGTACAACAATTGGTTGTGGCAGAAATAACTTAAAAGCTGAACCCTGGGCAACAATATGTTTGGACATGTTTTGTTCTAAAAAAAATGTCAGTCTGCTGGTTCTGTGTATTAATACAGCTTGCTCTAAATCCCCCCCCTCCCTTCTCTCCCCCACCACAGCTGACACCAAAACTGCACCTATACTTGACACCAGTGCAGGTGTTGTCTCTCCTCCTGTGTACTTCTTGCCCAATCGCAAAAGCAGCGCATGATGATTCTTTGGTTGTGTGTTTTGAGAAGTGCACGCAACACTACCGCTACTGTCATTTATAGCTGCAGCCCTGATGTCAGTCAGGGATAAGATGATCATAACACATCTGAACATATTTAAGTAATGGTGCCTGGAGTTTAGCTTTAAATGTAATACTTTGTTTTAATTTAGATACCTGTGCAAACTTCCTGAATGGCACAAACTGCACAATGTCTCTTAACGCCATCTCCCCGGTGGGTGATCGGAGACCTCCATTGTCACCATCCAGAAACTCCATGGCACTGAAGTCAGCCCCTCCCACGCCAACTATGATAATGGACATTGGGAGCTTGGTAGCATTAACGATGGAATGACGCGTCTGATCCAGATCCGTTATCACTCCATCAGTGATAATTAGCAGGACAAAGTATTGCTACAATACACAATGAGCAGAAATGTAAATGACTTGTTCAATAAGAACACAAACAGAAATTGTGAGGATATATTTGATCTCTTATATATTAAAAGTATATGTAATATATTTTATATTTATCATAA